TACCTTAACTCGTCACAATAGATGTTTCTTGGAATATAGATGTGACAGAGGTGAATGCATCACGTCAGCCTGTGTTTTGTCGGAGCAGCTCGGTGCTGTGCTTACCCTCTGCGGCCAAAGCGCACCGGACAAGAAGTGAAAGCATCCCCACAGATAGTAGACAGTTCGCAAGCATCCCCGCTGCTCCGGCTCGCCGCTCGGTCCTCGAACACCTCCTCTCTCCTCCAGCATTCCTCCTCCGCGGCGAGCTCCCACCGGGATCGGCTCCCCGGGCTTCCAATACTTCGGGATGACCTGTCCGCCCACTGCTCAAACCGGGAGCCATATCCAGTGGATAAGTTGCTGAAGTTTCGGTCGTAAATAATACATTGGATCAATCCTCGTGCGTGGACGGGAAACACATCGGTCCCGCGGTCTCGTGGTGGTGTCCAGGGCTGGAGGGGGCACTCGGCGATGAAGGGAAATTAAGAAACGCGCCCTATCGCTCCGCTGCGCTCGGTCCACCCATCATCACCGAGTGGCGCAGGGAGGCGCGCACACTTTGCCAAAGGTTTGACATTTAGCTGTTGTCGGTGAACTGACTCATACAGACCTGCTCCACACGGATAATATGACTGTGGCTGTGCTCCGGTGACGTTTAGCCCCACATTTAAAGGATATGGACGCTGCTTGGTCATTGATAAAGGCTAACACCCCCCTGGTCAAAATGAGCAAATTAGCCTCTCTGCTGTTAATTGTCGGGGGAAAGTCAAAGCGAGCAGCCTGCAGGACGACCTCTGCTGGGGGGACCGGGACCCCAACATGTCAGCTTGTAAGGTGGATTAATGTTCACAACAGAGAATTTACAATTTTCCTTTGTTCCACAAATATTATGTAGCATGATTACAATGTCTTACCTAAGGGCTACAAAAAAAGCTAACTGAAAATGATGTAGTCAAATAAACTGTAGGCTGTAGTACTGCCGTACCGCCACAAGATGGCAGCAGTAACCCAGATACTATAATATACTATACTACAAATTATATAAGCAAATAGAAAATCATGCAAAGCCCATTGATCTAGAGTACAACACAAACAACAGATGTTGTATAGTGTAGGCTATTGCCATATAAAATACAAAAAAACATTACAAATATATATTTATACTGTTAGCATGTAATCCAGTCAACTGTAAAGTGCTCGTACATGAGTAAATTGAGATATTGCGATAAAGTCGATTTAACGGCTATTTTGGATTATATTGCAAAATCTCCAACGGAAGATGGAGTTTTATAAGGTATAATGAGCTTTGAAACTATTACATTTCCATTCATTATTTTGTCGAGTAAAAACACTAGCTCATTAAATCCATTATTTGATTGACATAATTTAGATGATCACTGAATCCTTAACAATATTTAATTGAACCATGCTAAATTAACCAATATTCCCAGGTTTCATATTCTGCTTGTCTTATTTTATATCTGTAATAGCTGCCAGTACTGTCATTTCAAATCTAAGATGTGTTCATTATTATGTTACAGACACATGGATTGGCCAATTAATCCTCAAATGTTTAACAATTTAAAATACAATAAACACCATAAAATAAACAATTGCCTGCCTTTGTTCTTGTTCAAATGAGTTTGAAAACCACTGCAGTAAGATGTGACAGAGTTACTAATCAGCACCAGAGAATCACCTTAATAAATACAATAATGGGGGGAAAAAAGTCAAAAAGAGCTGCATCAATAGATTTTTTTTAATTCAAAGTGAATCTTAACAATAATACACCATAACGTCTTTTTTTGACACTCACCAAAAGAGTCACCTGGAAAACCCGCTTAATGTGACAAAGTAGAGAAGGCTTGGTCACACCTAAATCACTGAGAACTAGAGGAAACACTATCGCAAACTGTAAAGAGACATCACATCCATAGAGTTAGTTTTCCCAGTCCTCATACTGTAAATATTGCACAGTGCAATTGCTACATGGCAAACTAGTGTAGCACAAATTAAAAAAGCTAAATTAAACCAAAACAAAAATAAACAAAGCCACAAAAAAAATCTACAGGTATTAAAACAGTAACAGTTCAGATTTCATAATCAAGTCTATTCGATAAGCAATCTAAATAGATGATTCCATAACTTGCAGTGTGAATTAACTCTGAAATTGATACAGATGACCAGAAAAATAAGAGCTTGAGCAAAACAAATCTGATCAAATCAAAGAGTAACACAGTAGTACATTTAGACCAATACAGACCCTGAATTAACATCTGTAAAAGATTTGTTTACTGATATCAAAGTCATAACCTTTTACAAATGACTGTTGAATCTGTGAAATTATACATGAGTCCTCAAAAAAAAAAAAAAAAAAAAAAAAATCCAAGGTGTCAATTGTGTGGAAAATTAAACAGTTTCAATATTTCTCTCCTTTTGCATCCATTCTTTTCTCTAACAAGTATGGGAGAGTTTATGCAGGCGCATTGCTGGTGAATACCTTTGGAGGAATCAACACACAGATTACATTTCACATGCTTATTATTGGGGAACTATTTCAAGCACTAATCTGCCAAGTTCATGCCTTGTCGTCATAAGCCTTCTTTCCCAGATTCGATACTGGATAATGATCAGTAAAGCGTACAGGTAAGAAAAAAAGCTATCAAAATACATACAACCATATCGATGTCAGTCTTTAAATGTGGAGTATTACACTCATGACTGACTGTACAGAGAAACCACAATTATCTCCTTCACAGAGCAGATCCCACACAGAATAAACATCCAGAAAAGACTGGACATAAAGCACGCTCTTCGGCTTTTAAAGGCCAGTGTTGTTAACTGTGCTCTGGTTACTCCCGCTCTGCCACAACTTGTACGATGGAAAAGCTGCTCTGAGCAGACAGTTTCGAGGCAGACAAAGTGAAGCAACGCAGGTGAGCATGCAAGCTAATGTAAAGCATGGAGATTATCTAAGAACACTTGGTGGTGCAATGACCGCACAATGTAAAGTATTGCATCTGCTGTTCAGCCAGAGTGACTATCCAAAGATCGTTGAGTGTCATTCAAAGTGTATTTGCTTTTTATCACAGAGAGGCTTTGGTGACGGCTATCTGAAACAAGAGGAGCGCCACAATCATGCACATGTCTACAAGCGGATCAGAGGATGTGGTTTTTGTTCGGTTTCTTATTCCTGGTTGCGCGGCCATTCAAACACTGTCTACTCCATATGGTAATGGACTGAGTGGATTCTATGCCTTCCTCCTCATGTAAGAGGTGAGGAATCACCATCTTGAATTCTCACTTTCTGAAGCTCAAGGCACATACACAGTGCTGCTCACACCGTCTCAATTTCGGTATAACAATGGCCACAGTTTTGCATTGACATACCATCATTTTGATATGAGACACTCATAAAGGGGAGAGCGATCCAAACACAAGGCCGTTTAGAATAGCAGAATAACAAAGTGTGAAACTGATATTCTAGCCAGATATAACATTGAACAGTTAACACATTGCAATTCATATTTCAAATCAATTAAAAGAGTTGTAAAACATTATTTTGGAACAGAAACATTGGGTTAAATTTATGTTTTGGACACAGAACCCCAAAACCTTATACAAGCCTTACTACCTGCATGAGTGCTAAGTGGAGAGTGTGTTTGTGGAAACATTACAGAAGCTTTTCAATGACCATAATGGATTTGTCTTCTGGCATCTCACAGTGCTCCTGTTACACGCAAAAGAGTACTGGTAGTATACTGGTAGTATATATAAGCACAATGAAAAAGTTAAATCAATCCTGCAAGCTACGGCTTTAGATGTGTACAAAACGTCAATATGAAAACATACAAAAATTAAGTTACATAGATACATCATTTATATGCAGTGATGAGCCCGAAAGGTTAATAAGGATAAAATACTGATGCAAAACACACACCCCGAGAAACAACAAATGCAACTAATGTTCATCATCAGCAATACAGTAGTTACAATGACACTCCAAATATGAACGCAAAACACAAAAATCAAAACCACTTCTATTTCAGATAATTAGGGACCTATACAGAAATAGCAACGCTAGGTTTAAACTCAGAGAAATCACCTAATTTCACAGCTATCGAAGTGGCAATCATCATATAGCAGCTTATCTATGATACATTCAAGAAAGAAATGACACGACTTATTAATTGCCCAAAAAGCTAGACAAAACCTCTGCCGATTTTTTAAATACAATTTTTTGTTTTTTTGTTTTAATTCAACCCCATTCTACGACTACAGTTTATTTGAGGTTTATGCAAACAGAATAGCTACCTTGCTCAGGAAGTGAATTACAGTCTTTGGTGCTGCACAAGCAACTTCATTTGAAAATAAAAGACAACAAAGAAACACACACATAACTAGTCAAATGAACAGATAAAATGCACACACAGCATATCTACATATATATATCTATATATATATATATATAGAGATATATATATCTATATATATAGACTGGTGCTACCATCATATATATGTATATATCCTCCCTGACGGAATGTATAAAATAAGCAGTCGACACCAAGAAGCCTCAAGCCATTAACAAATGGTATAATGTAAAGGGGAAAAGTTAACTGTCACACATGCATAAATGAGCAAATTGCACACAATTAACTCAAACCTTATCAAGCATCTGTACTAAATAGTCTAGCTCTATAATATATGTCCATATATGCGTGTATATCAAATACTGCATGGTTTGCTCAGGCTTAGAAAATTCCATACCATGAATTCATTCGCATTTTTTCCTGACCTAATCAAAGCCATGCCCACCACACTTCTAAACATCTAATAACCAAAGTGAAAACACTCAAAATGAAAATACGAAGACGAAAAAGAAAACTAATCAACGACTATTTCGATTGTATTGCAGTTTCAAATAACAGTACAAATACTGTTTGTAATAATAGTTTCACTAAATAGAAAGTGATTATCAAATATTAAGCAATACTCAGTACTTGCACTTTGTACACTAGTTCATTTGAGGAAAAGGGAGAACGAAGAGAAAAACGGTTTTAATGAAACGTTAAGCATTCGCAACAGCAAAGCATGCTGCTCTTCTTGTAAGAACAGAAAGGTAACTCACTACACGCTGAGATACACACCGAGTCCAAAAGATACGCACCGCTATCCGCGATACATCACATCCATGCAGGCTATGCATGGACATATACACGTGTGCATATATATACTCACACATAGGATGCATCGACTGATTGGAATTTCAAGTGCTGCAGTCCAGTACATTAATAATCATGTATATAGTCATATATAAGTAGTAACATTAAAAACCCCAAATATGTAAGGCACTATGGCTGGGGACAGTTATACAATGCAGCGAGTCTTGTGACACAAACAATAAGAGCAACGTTTATGCTTCTTTCCGTTTACATTTTTGCTCATGCAAGACCACATGCAGCGTGAGGAACAACCCTATATAAATCGGTTAATTTACTTGACATTGCTAACACCAAAAGACACCGTAAAGGTACAAATACTTCAAACGCAGTACAACATACACTGTGGACGACGTGTGCATCTGTGTCGATCTAGAACTAGAGACTGGGATGGCTTTACAAATATGGATGTGTCTTGCACACGTAAGAAGGCAATATAGAAAAATAGCTGGGATCAGGGGTGCAAAGTCTAACTATTTAACACCACCCCAATTATTTTACCTGTTTTGAGGAGTATTCGTAGAAGATCCAATGCAAAGATATATATCAAATGTGCAAAACACATTAAGTGTGAGTTTACTACTCATTCATTCTTTCATTCGATCATTCATACATTGTTTCCTTCTTAATTTTTGCCCAAATCACTCTCCACCATTGGAACTCTTTTCCTTTTTTTTCTTTTTTTAAAGCTCGAAGTTCAATTACACCCAAGTCTACATGTTTCAAAAAATAGCTTGCTCTCTTTGTGGTTGTGCCATGGTTTTGGAAATGAAACCCATGTTGTTTAAGATAACCCTAGCCCTCAGGTGGTATAAAGGGTACCTGGGCAGCCCCGCTCACATGTAGGGGTACTGGTTGATTTTGGTGGGACTGAGGGGGAAACTGGCGTATGCGGGCGAGGCGATGTAGGAGTGCGGGGGGAAGAGAGGCTTGAATTGGCCCTGGGGGTGCAAGGTGGGGGAGGGCAGCAGTCGGGTGTTGATGCCCACAGTGACCTGATGCACGATGCCTGCCGGGTGGGAGATGCTGTAGGTGGGCTGCATGATGGGGCGGGAGGCTACAGGGGACGCCAGCAGGTGGGCCACGGGCGCAGCCGTGACCAGAGGGCCAGACGGGGGGTAAGACAGTAAGGTGGGCTGGGTGTGTGGGTGTCCCCCAAGGTGGGGGTGGGGCCCCGTATTGTGGTTTGGGCTGCTGTGGGACAGGGTGAATGTGTGCCCATGCATGGTGGGGGGGATATAGGCCTGTGGTCTCCGGTGGGCGAAGTTGCCATTCCATTCCTGGTGGCAGGAACCGAAATGCTGCACCTGAAGGAGAGAGCATCCGGCTGATCAGTATCACCATCTTTATCACTTACATTCGTTTCCCTTTCTTTAAGAGCCACTAGATGCTGCTGTCTGTCCACATTTGTATATCGTCTTTTATCAGTCGTTAACAATCCTCATACTGTTCAAACCATTACAGAGCTCTACTATTTAGTTGTTTTACTAGAAATGCATTAAATAAAGCAGTATTAGAATAAAATGCCCTCAGCCCCTAAACACAAACCCTTCTTATTCTTTTTTTTAATTCTTTATTTATTTGGGGTCACATTATAGTACAAGTACAGTTTTTCAAATCATATATTTTTAGAGACCCGAAGAAAAAACCCTTCTTATTCAACAAAATTTACTGTGGCAGATGAGTCTAGTTCCACTTAGACATTAAGTGTGCTCTCGGACGCTGCTACGCTATCAAGAGCAAATATTTGCAATTCAAAATGTGCTCTTTTATCACTTAAATGTATAAAGTGTAGTCACAAGCACTTAAGTAATTGCATTGCAGGTACAGTTTACCAACTTCTTTACATTGCAGAAAAAAGGGGTAGATGCAGAATACAATGACTTGAATGAATTAAAAAGGTATTTTCCACAAGCATCCACTAGCAGTTGTGTTTATTGGAACACCCTGTCCACAGCATTACCTCTGCCACTTATTAGAAAGTTATTCTTATGAAAATAAAATAAATCTTTTGGCCATACAGATGCTTATACTGTTTGTTCTACTCGTTTGGTTTTCCCAATGTCGGTCTACAGCCGACAACCCTCATCTATTAAGATGTGAAAAGTATAGGTTTACGTTCCTTTGTGTATTATGCATGTGTATGTGTGTGCATATGCTGACCTGCCCAAAGCCTATAGGCTGCTGTTGCTGGGGCTGGAATGCAGGGGGGATCTTCTGCGGCCGGTTGAGGAGGGGAGTGGAGTGGAGATGCTGGCGCCCAGGGTGGCCTCGCCCTCTGGACTGGCATGACGACTCTAAGACTGAGGGCAGGAGGTCATGTGAAGAAGGACGTACAGAGAAAGAGATGACATGCGTTAATTCAGACAATTTGATGTCCCACTATTTATATCACAGCGTAAATAAGGGCAGGCAAAAGGCAGAAAAGAAGCAACCAGGGGTTTGATCCAACTACAACTGCAGAAAAGTCAACGTGTGTGGCAGGAGGCTTTGCAGGCTTATCACTGATTCCAGCTGTGTTTGATCACATCCAAACCTTTAAAAATGGTGGCACCTGTCCTCTGAATATCATCTAGGTGATAATAAATAGATGTGTTTGTGGGGATCTGGGAGGAGTTGGTAACTAAGCTTGTTCATAGAGCTTATAGTGGGGTCAGACCATCAGCTATAAATACACCTGGTAGCACTAAAATAGCAAGCTGTGCCCTTTTATGTGGGGCTTTAGTTGCAATAGATTCATGGTTGGAGGGGGGGGGGGTTTCCTTTGAAAGGAAAGGTGATCTGACTCTGTAGGATTTTATCAAATATTTATAGTTGAACCATCAACTTTAAAATACCCATAAACAGGCTTTAAAATGTATTCAGTTGCTGAGAATATAGGGGTGTCCACAGCCGTTAATAAAGCCTACATATAGCATGCGTAACGCCACTTTAACACCAGGAAGAAACATTCAAACATGTATTTGATTCATGACAGCCAGAAAACGTCTTCATGTTCTCTGCTTGACATCCAAGCTCCAGATATTTATATCCGGGGCCTTTACCATTGTGGGGCAATTACGCATGTGTTATGTATCTTTAAAAAGTGCACATCCACACAGATACAGGGGCACTCAGAAACAGTCTGGAGCCAGAGTAAGGAGTGATGACAGCAAACAAATATGCACTCCAGAGTTTAAAGCCCATACTTCAGGGCAGGTCGCCCATAATCACCTGTGAGAACCTCTGCGGCCTACAAAGACAACGTAATCCCAGGCCATGTGACCTGTGGAGCAGACAGCAGCAGTGATGACTGACAGCTGGCATGACCTGCTCATGCACTTCCATGTCTTGTAAGGGGATAACACCATCAGACCGAAGTCCTGAGTGTGCATCTGAAAAGGTGTCCAGTCACCTGCTATACCGATGTGATCATTTTGGTGTAGAGATAACCTGGGTCTAACACACTGGCCAGGGAGTCACTTCCAGACGTTTTTACTTTAAGAAAAACACACGTTTCCGTATGTAGGCCTGAAACCTAATGTACATTTTTAGGCAGCTCCATGTCAGAATAGAAAGTCTTGAATACGATTCCTTATTAAACGATATAAAGCCGTGACCGTGATTGTTTTTGAAATGATCGATGCATTTTTTTTTAACAGAGTACATTTTTTATTTTATTTAAGCTTAATCTTTTTTGAATTTGTTTATATTTTTTTCAAATGTAAGAACTAAGGGTTCACAGCTTTTTAAGCGGTATTACAATTCTATTATATTATAATCTCTTATATCAGTGGCATAAAATTGTCTTAAAATTACAAAAATATTGTGTATTGCAATTACTTACTACCAAAAAAGGTAGTTATCATGACAGGGCTAAGTCAGACTTAAATAAGGATCATAGTGAGTGAAGTTGTGTTATGGATCCATCATATATCCAGTTGTACCTGTGTTGCCGTATGTCTCACTGACAGCAGGGTAGTAGTTATTGTTGTTCTGCACTCTCATTGGAGGCACCACAACAGTACGAACTGCTGGCTTGCTGGGCTCTGTCACCGGGGCGATGCACGCCACACGGGGCTCGCAGTTCTGGTTGCTGTCGGCGATGAAGCGTCGCTGTGTGAAGGGACTGTTGCTATGGCCAGAGGCGTCTGATGTGGGCGAGCTGTCCACCGTGTCACAACCACTCTCCTGTTCGTCATCGGACATACTGCAACAAGGCAACCAATCACAAGGGAGGTTAGTGACATGTCGTTTGTAGGAGTGCAGCCATTAATGTAGAACCAGTAAAAACATGTGTTTGTTTGAATGAGTTGCGTTGACCGTACCTGTTTGGGTGTTTGCAGGGGGAGGTGCTGGACTGGGCTGAGGCGGAGGAGCTGGTGCTGAGCGTGCTGTCAGGACTGCTGAGGGAACACACTCTCTCCATACTGACGGTGCTCTGACACGCCTCACAGTCTGCACTACCCTTACACCTGTGTGCAGACAGACACAATAATAATACAACATTTCAGAAGCTAAATTAGAAATATTGTAAGAAGTAACATGATGGTCAGTACTCACTCCCCCATCGAGTGTCTTTGTGCGCTCTCTTCGTCGTCGCTGCTGATACTGATGACACTAACAGTCGGGCTGGCGAGGTCAGAGATCACCATGGCCTGCCGCTGCTCCTGCGAAACTGAGAGCTCCTCACAGTCTGGCTCCACTTTACAGAAGTTCCCCCCCGCCCGCCTGTCGGTCCTTTGCTCCTCTTCAGCAGTGCGCCCTTCCGCCGGGCACCTCGCTTCTACCTGCTGCGCATTCTTTGCTGTATCGGCCATCTTTGGGGACTGGCATGCTACATTTTGGACGTTCGTGTTTTGGGAGTAGTTGCTGCCCCTGTTAAAACAACAAGCCAATTTAAGAGAGGAAGTAACCCTTTTAAGCGAATGAATGTGTGTTTTTTTGCAAAACTCACATGTTGTACCTGTTCACACAGGGCTTGGCTCTCTTGTTGGCAGCTGGCTGTGGCCACACCACATGTGCAATGCCTATGTTGATTGGCTGGTGGTGGTGGGTGGACATGGTCATTTGGTTGGTTAAGAATGGCTGAGGGTGTGCAATCATGGAGCTGTAATGGTTACCATGGGGACGCACTTTCCTGCATTAAGGAAACAGAAAATTGCAAAAGCCTTTAGCCCCATTACCAATGAAATGATCTCATTCAATGGTCCCAAAGGACATGTATGACTCATTGATCATTAATATTCAGGGGAGCAGACGTGCTGTCTCAGAGCAGTACTGCCATTCCCAAAGCTGCATATAGAAACTAGAGGTAGCGAAACTCTAAAGCATATTGCTTTAGATCATATGACATATTAGAACATATAGAGGGAGGAATATGGATAGTGCAAAAAAATGATATTGTGATGTAAACGAAGTTACAGACAAAAATATTGCTCACCCCCAGTCACCCAGTCTTTGTGAGCCCGCCACAGAGTCGGATGCCAAAGTGGTTGGTGGGGGGGGCACTGATGTCACCTGCTGCCAAGTGGGCAGCAAGATCTGCTGTGCACGGCTGGGCCAGGCCTGTTGAAGTTAAACGGAGCAAAGCATTAATATCAAGTACATTAAAAAGGCACCGTGTTTGTGGATCATTCATAATTAACTTTAAATGATAAATAATGAATGTAACTACTTTGTAACTACATTATCTACACTTAACAAAGCCATGCTGTTCCTTCCTCTTTGGCTATGTTATTTGAGCTCCTTTACCACTATTCCATCCTCGCTACCCCCTTACCTGTGTGATGACTCCAGGTCTGATTTGTATGGGCTGGATGGGGGGTGCTTGACTGAATGGAGGCACAGAAGCCTCCATTCGAACAGAGTAGCCTGATGGTTTAGCTGTGTTGGTGGGGATACCTGCAGGAACAATGGAAAGGAAATGTAGTCTAACCACCACAGATAATAACAACCAAGTGTGAACTAAAGATATAAACCGCCTACCTTGTATGGTTGGGGGACATAGAATCAGAGCCTGCTGAAATGAATCATTGCATCCAAACTGACCATTCCCGGTCTGCAGTGGTATCCCAGGGTGCATTATTGACGTGGCTGATGGGGCTAATCCCTAAAAAAGACAAATGTTATATGACTGGGATGCTTTCTTGGGTATTACAACGATCAACAATAGCATCAAAGAGCCAGTAGGTGGTGACATATCTACCAAGTGTGACCTGCATCTCAGCCTGACAGAGGAGCCCAAGGGTCTGTCTCCTACTGAGAGAGCTTCATGGGTTGGTCAGTCAACTTTAGGTATAACCCTGGCTTTTCGGGTTAAAAGTGGCTTACTTGGCAAACCTATGGTAGTTTAACATTGTCACCTCCAACACATGGCAGATATAGTACAGAGGAAGTAAAAAAAAAAAAAGGCATCCAGGACCCATTTGCTTAACTCCATGGTAAAATGGAGTCACTATGCTTTAAGGATTCCATCAAATCTAGATCAATACTTTCATCTCATTAAAACACAGCTCTTTATCTGTAAATATTGCATATGATTGGATAGATTTGTGTATGAGCCCGCTCATAAACAGATTAACCACTTTATCCAGGATCACAAGGTTAGATTTTATTTTAAAGGTTGATAACTAAAAGGTCGCTAGGAAATGTTGAATATACTCTGAGACAGGCCTGAGGGCTGAACAAAGAACAGTTAAGCATGTGCCTCTGCCTCACTGCTCTTGTGCCTGGCTATAATCACATTTATTGAATAACGAGAAGTAGGCCTACAGCTCCTGCATGTAGCCCAACCCCCATACACATGATAGTAAACACAAAGCAGCCTTTCACAGGATAATACTAAAAAAGCTTCCACATTTCTCGTTGAATTCTCTTGAAGAAGATAAGAGGAAACATTTACTGCTCCATGGAAACATTATCGCCGAACACTTTAATTGTGAAAAGAATTAGAACAGTTTTTTTTTCCTCAGCTTTTGATTCTAGGAATGAAGGAGCTGTCTAATAGTATCCGTATGTCTGTACTGATGAAACACATGCAGTGACCATTATTCTGTCACAATTGGTCATCTTTCCAAGTATCATCTTCAATAGGAATCGTTTTACATTATTGAGATGCAATGCTAAAGAGGGTCAGCTCCTGTTTTTCCATCAGCAACAACAGTGATTTGCACCGTTGCCATGACCTCAGAAACATGACGTGATTTTGTTGCCATGACAGCACTGCTAGGACGCAATAAGATGGGTGAGTCGGCATACACGCAAGCAATAAAGACGAGGACATTGTCTACATGTTCAGTCTTCACAGGAGCAGATGAACAGAACAACACATTGCATGTCGTCAGTGACCCACACCATCTGTCTATATATATCAGGTATAATCAGTGTAATATATGTAATGCTTTTATTCCCTGTAGTAAGTGTAATAACACCGCCAACACACATCAAATCAAACGGCAGATTGTAATCAAACAACATCCTGGACTTACTTGAGTGTGAATATTGCTGAATGGGTGGTTGACAGAGGCAGCAGCGGTTGTGGTCAGAGGTCTGATGAAAGGAACTTTATTTCTGTTGACCGCCTCATATGCACTGGGGCGAGTCCAGCAAACATCCATGACGTGGAAACATGACTTCACACTACAGAAAGACAGAGAGGGACTGCGAGTTAGGTAGGAAGGTCAAAATGACACCATGTCCCAAAATCTGAGGCTTATTGGACTTACTGGTTGCTATGGGGAAAGTCGAGCAGGTGTTGCATTGTCACAAAGGGGTGGCTGAGAGCCTCAGCGGGGGAGATCCTCTCTTCGGCATCGATCAACAACATCTTCTTCAGCAGGCCCACAAACTCCCTACGGTCTGCCTTCTCCACCAACAAGTCACTACCTTCCAGATTCATCACCAAGTTCACCTGGAACACATTTTACTGTTAAAACTGTTGGCTAGAATCACTGTTCTGAAACGGAGTAACGTACTCAAAGAAAAAGAGGTAAGGTCAAATGTAAAATGGCACTCTGTGTATGATGTATCAGTGATCGTTTTGATATGAAACCCATGTTTCAGAATGACAAACAATTTGTCATGAACATGAATTCTCAAGAATCTCCTCGACCTAAACGAGCATTGTTGGTCAACTGGGGAATTTCCATGTGCTGTCTTTTTACAGAGACTAGTAAGTGAAACCTGAACATTCATTCTACATTTGGGTTTAGCATTTATCAGAAGGGAAGTTGAGCTTAGAGGTAATCTTTAATTTCCCAGTGATAATATGGTGTATTGTGTTCATCCAGCTGTGGGTGTACTTCCTCTGGTAAACACTCCGGTATTCTCTCAGCAATTGATGTTGAACTTCCTCTGAAGTTCTGTTAGGTACATTGTGGTGATAGCAGCTGAACATACATGCGCTATGTCATCCAAACAGCTGAAGATGTACTTCCTGGCCTCCTTTGATTTCATTCCCGTCTCCGTCTCATGCTCATCTGTTGACTACAGAAAAAGAACATGTTTAGTGGGGCGGCAAAAACTAAATATAGCAAAGCAGTTGACATGCTGAGTCAGGATTTTATATTTTATGTGGCTAAAAAACTGTAATGTAAGTTGTGCTCCCAAAATACAGTATTGTAGAACCCTTTGATTTGTTTCAAAGTATGTGAAGCAATGTGACTTAAAGACTGCATTGCATTTTAACGATATGTCACACTGCGCATGTTTTTTCACGAAGCTACGATTGCTTCTTTATTGGGAACTACATTCTTTGTTTACCCATAGGGGAGCAAGAACATATCTGTTGACAGTAAGCCAACCTATGATTTTTTACAATCAGCTTTTAGTGAAACAAAACAAGGGTAGAGGTTAGTTGTTTTCAATAAGTGGCAACAAGCTACAAAGGCATATGCTGCAAGGGTGTAAATAATCCTCACCTTGAGTCTCCGTGCCGCATAGGTGGAGTCAGACTCTCTGCAAAAGAACCGTGATGTCTTTGTCCCCACATTCAGTAAATGTTCCCCTGGCAAACCTTGTGTCTGCGAAATGTAGCGCATCTGTTTGACATAGGGAGAAAAGCAATGGAAACAAAGATATAAACAAAAAGGAATAAATACATCTCATAGCTGAAATAAAATATATTTTCATGAGGAATCAAAAAAGCATTCCAATACTATGTATATTAAATTATGAACATTATTACATAAAGGTGGGTTTTTTCACTGTTTGTCGATTTATCATCCCCCACTCTCTGAAACCAAAACGTCACCCGAGAACTTAATACTAACACACTCTTTTATGTTCTGATCATTTACAAGGTAATGGATACTGACGTCATACTATCAAATCCCTCAGAGTTAAAGTTACAGTGGACATGTACATAATGGGGACAGCTGCTGAGACCTTGAAGATGGCATGTTCCTGACCAATGGTTCGACCCAAGTGAGAGTGCAGCTTGTGTTTATCTCTGTCAGGTGTCATGGTGTTTTCATGTAAACCTTGATGATAAGGTTCCTTCAGTCTCATTGCCAAATGCTTGGCTGCGTAATGATGCTTGTCAGTCAGATGCGGTGGGACGAGAGTGTGACACGCAGGTCTATGAGAGGAGAGCAGTGAGAAGCCCGGCTGACGTCAATCACACCCATGTGCAAAGGACAACAACCATTAGAGATTCAGCGTTGCTTAGAAAGCAAGAGCCAGGCATGGGGAGAACAGAGAGGATCATGAAGGAGATCTAGCTAACCCTTTCCCTTTGAAAATCACCAATTTAGAAGAAAGGCAAACAAATTATTCCTCACACCTTTACTTAAAGGTGGGGTAGGCAATTTTGGAGAAACCAGCTCGAGTGCGCTAGAATTTGAAAATACACAGCCGGAACAAATCTACCACTTCCTTACAGAGCCCCTCCTCCAACACACACGAACGCGCACATGACCAATGAGGGCATGAGATAAGTTTGTGCACAGATGGAAGGCTGACAGGCAGGTAGGCCATCCAGTTACTTTAGTCGGGCCGGCTAAAATGATTGGTCGTGCTTTTTACAGTACTACGGCTTCCACTGATGTTTTTTTTTGTCAAAGCACTTCAGATATTCATTGCTATCGGGATGTTAAGAGCATTCCATGGAATTTAACAAAAAGTGTATCTCGAGCCGGTTTCTCAAACTTACCTACCCCACCTTTAAACTTATATAAAGTTCCCACCCTGCTGCCTGCAAAAAATGAATAAATACGTTTCTATGTGTGAGTTCCATGACAAAACTCACATTTAAAAAGTGAAAAACAGACGGTAAGAATGTTTCAGTTGGAAGCTCATCGTGTGTTATTCTTCAAGTTGCTCCTCCAGGCAAATGTGATGCTTGAGCATTTGGCTTTTATAAGTCTGTTGCCAAGGTGCAAATCCTGCAATCACTCTGTTTAGGTGGGTGGGACAAGTCTATGTCCGTTGGATATAGATGAGTTAATGATCAAGCAATGCATGATGAATGTTATCTCATCTGCTTAGAGATTTGAATAGGATGGTAGACAGCCCCTGGCTTAACTCAAGCCACACTAACAGCTCCAAGTATCATAAAACACATTGCGTCACTGTCCACTTCTCCCTTTTGGGGACATTTGTGCTTTCATTTAGTCATTTTCCAAAACATACTGATTAGGTTACATCAACCAAAAATCTTTCTCAAATGTTTTGTCTTTCACATTCACTTTTGATAACTGACAACTCCAAAAAACCTTACCCTGAAAGTACCCTGCCTAAAATACCCTCCTTTCATGTCCATAATGTAGCTGTGCTGTGGTTCGGGAACGTCACATAAACAGAAACAGACACAAGAAAACAACACAGCCAGTGTGTGTGGGTGGAACATTCTTGTGATGGGAAAACCCTTATTTTTCCTGGAAGGCGAGTCACTGCAGAGATCTCACAAACCAGTGAGATCACTGGTCCACAAAACAACTATCCAGCGAGCCCAGGCCTGCTGCAGAGCAGACAGGAAGGCCGGGCAGCATTTATTTGATGGCAGTTGAGATAACCATACACTCTATAAAATATGCATTTCAATGATATTGCTCCGTCACTGCAATAAATTAAAGTACATCTCAGCTTAGGATAATGCACCATACCTTCCCTGATGCACAATGAATCTCTTCCACATTTAGATTATAGTAGTTTGCACCCACTAACAAACAGGGACATTCTTACGAGAGACTTTCAACCCCCACTATCCCAAATCCCTTTAGCTTCCACTGACTCTGCCTACATCGGCTTATTCTAACAGATCGCCCAAGTTGCAAGCTAGGCCAAGCCCCGGAGAAAAGAGGAAAAAGAGGAGGCGTGCAGAACTTTGGTCTGCCATAGTGTGCACTGAACCCAATGGTTACACTACTTGTACTGTGCTTGAGATAGCAAGAAAAAGTGAGTGTAAAGAGGGCCTGAAGAAAGGTTTAAAAACAACAATATGGGTAATGAAGTCATAGCCAAGACTACAGCACCTTGGGCTAATCATAGACACTCATAAGACACTGGCTGAGTCGCGAGGTTCGTCACTTCAAAGGAGTGAGAAGCCTCGTGCTCTAGCAAAAGATGGTGTGACTGGGTGATGAGGTAAGGACGGGAAGAGGAGGAGCAGGAGTTATAAATACAGTATGCTGTGTGGTATGGAACAAGACCCCCTGCAGAAAGATAAGAAGAAGAAAAGGGGGAGAGGGGGGGGTGGCAGCAACTCTCCGCTCCAGCCAGATCACCCTGTGGCCCCTGGATGGCACCTCACCCCAGCAGGCAGCTGCCGAGCTGTTGGTTATTTATTTTAGGCGCTAAAAATTTACAAGCTTCTATTTTGAATATCGGTAATATATTTATATCAGAATGAAAGCACATGGAGTGCCAGTTTAGGAATATTTCTGTCCTCAACCTTTTAAACTCATGACAACTCTGGCTTTACTTGTGGGAGTCAACTAATGATTGCAGAAGCACTCTAAAATAGTTTGAAGCTAGGAAGTAAGATAGCAAAACCTTCTGGTTTGGATCCTAGAAAATCAAAGATGTCCTTATATCAAGTTCAATTGGAGCATCTATTTCTTGTTAATCGTGAACACGAAAAAAAGGTTTGAACAGAAAGGGGATGTGGTTTGCTTCGGCTTAATCACTGCACCTTTGAGAGTGATCCTACATCATTTGACATCAAGTGTTGCCACCGATAGAGCTGTGATTTAATGTGAGGATTTGTGGAAGTATGAGTTTTTGTTCTTCACGCTATACTATTTCTATAAAAGGCTTTAAAAACAACAACTGGTAGTGATCTTACTTCATCTATATGTGCATGTACTTTGCTTTAGTATGGCATCCAGAAAACATCAAAATAAGAACTTCATGTTTTTTATTAGACCTATGCTCCTGAACAGACTGCTTTTTTACAAATGTCCATGATCAACTTGAGAACCCTGTGTTTTCTATTTCTTAGAGGCACAGGGGTAAAAACAAGGCCTCTCCAGGATGTGCTTGAGACTTTACTACACGACCATTCTGCTAAAATGGGCAAGGGTTTTGAGTTCAGTCATCCCAGAGAACATCCAGAGCCTAAGACCCACTGCAGGCATTTTAATCAGCAGGCAACAATAGACAGTAACATGAGCGGTGCACGATACAGCGAGCTGAAATGTAATGCGACTAACTACCTTTCCCTTTAGATGACTAATGCCCTGCACCACAATCCACCACTTGTGTTTTACAGTGTATTATAATTCAGTTCCCCATTTAAAGTACAGTAGGATGATATCCTTATCTGATCAGTCTAACAACCATCTGCTCAAAGCAGTCCCTTACAAAATAGAGGAGGCTCCCCCAAGACGAAAATATGAAACTTTGCGACATGCAAAGTCTGTTTTTGGCTGCTGCAAAAACAGATCCATCATATTCAGAGTGGTGATGCAGCGCTCAAGTCAAATCTTTTTCGGTAGTGTTGAGTTATCTCTCCTGTCTCAGTCCTGGGAAGAGTGAAAAATGATGCCTGGCCATAAAAATACTTTGGTGTGACTGCAGTGTGCAGCGGGGCAGATTGCTGTAATCTAGAGTGCTGCATGGGACACAGCAGGACCTGACCCAGGCGGTGCTGGAAGGCTTTGAGTAGATCGGGCTCCGGCGGTGGAGAGCAGCTCAACATAAGCCCAGATCAGTCTAGTCCTGGGAAGACACTGTCAGGTCTCTGCTTGGGTGGAGGGAGGGGCAGACAGCAGCTCCTAATAGACATACCATCAGTCACAATGATATGCCTTTCTGCTCACTGTCACAGATGCCAGCAGATGCAATCCTCAGGGTATGTACGTCAGAAGGGAAGCCGTAAATACTGCAATAATTTGTTACTGTAAGTCACATGTCTCTTTCTTCATTCAAACAGTCCATCACTGTTCTTCCTTCTGTGGGGTAGTTAGGCTAAAAAGTGTTTCTTTCCCTAACCCTCAAGTTCACTCTTCTTCCTGTCCCTTTCTTGCTCATACAGAAAATCTCTTCAGCGCCCTTAATATCGTATTAGGCGTAGATCTCACAGATTCAAATAACAGATTTTTCCAGCTGTACACCCTGTGACAATGTCGCATTCTTGTTTTAGCTTCGAGCCATCTGTCATAAACTTAGCTGCTGAGTCCCCATCTCTGCCTTTTTAAGGCAGTGTTAGCTTCTCTTCTAAACTAAATCGTTCAAGGCAGGTCTTTTGGGGGATTTAGACTAAAGTGGTCATCCTGCAAACTCCCACGTTGGGAGCCATGTCTGAATCAGTACCCTGAAGGCAAGTCTGCAATAACAAGCTGGATTGAATGCAAACACAGAAACAAACACACTGAAGCCATTCCTGTGTGGGAGTCTTGATTGGGAAAAGTAGGGTTTAATGAAAAGAAGGAGGCAAAAGAAAAAAGAAAAGAAGGTCAGAGAAGAGACCAGGAAAATATGTGGTTGGTGGAAACAGAGGGTGTAACGATACTTGGGCCGTGTAAGGATGGGGGGCTGACCTATTGGAGAAAAGGCTTAGGAAAGTGTAAAACCTATAAATGGAGGCAAGGCCCGCTGTGGCAGAGAAAACCAGTTTCCAAGTGCAAATGGTACAGAGGAAAGACTGACTCATAGACACTGGATCTATAAGCAGGAGGTGCTGGGATAAACTGAAAACAGAACAGAAAATGGAGGATAGCAGGCAGCATTCTAGGGGATTAATAACTCCCCAAAAAGTGATAAAATAAGAGCCAACGGCAGGTCAAATGTGAGAGATGGTGAGATGGTAGTTTACCTGGTCGTACTCCAGGGCCCCGGGGTAAAGGGGCCAGCCCAGAAAAAGTTCAGCTACCACACAGCCGAGGGACCACATGTCTATGGCTTCACTAAACGGCAATCCCAAAATAATCTCTGGAGCCCTGTGGAACAGACAAAACACACAACTGTTAGTCTGATGTGACAATTATATACAGGTTATTTGAAAATAAATAAAAGGCCAATATTAGTACACAGGGCAAGAAATGAGACAAATATGCAAATGGCTAGGGTGATTTGCATCACTCAAACGTGGAGAGAATGGTTTATTTTGTACAGACATTTCACACAAAGAGGCTCAAATCATGTTTTTGAGCATTATATACAAACATCAAAACAAATTCAAGAACCAACCGCTCACTAAAAACAACATTTTCTCTGAAAAATAAATTAAATTAATTACTTCGGTTTGGGCTATTCTTTATATTTAGTTTTGCTGTTGTTGTATTTTCACATGTAATGCATTTTGGTGTTCTCATAAACTATACAATCAATATATGCATTAATGAAATTGTATTCTCAGTTTCACTACTGACACATGTATTGCTTGTTGTCTTTATCGGCTGAAGTCTTTCAAGGCAGCTTTGTTGGTGAGTGTTGGCTTGCAGGCGTCAGCAGGCTGAGTCAGTGGGTTAGCAGGTCAGCTGGACAGGATCACAGCTTAGATGGTCTGCTGGATTTGCTCTAGGTTGATGCGAAATAAGTAACAGTCACTGGGTCTTTGCCTACGTGCTGGCTTGTGTTACTGTTAAGCTCCATAATAGCACTTTAATACTCTCTCACAGGGATGCTAGTGGTGACGCAGGCATGTCAGCACTAATACAGGTAATGCGTGCTGACTACTGTCAAGAACATGTTGTTTAGGACACAGCACAAAGCCTGTAAACAGTGACAGTGCAGACGGCATGATGTAGCGTGAACCGTTTTTTCTGACACGTGTATGTTCAGGGGTGGCCTCTAAGCTCATTCAAATCAATAAGACACATTAAGTTATTAGGTCTCAGACCAGTACGAGCATATCAGGTAATGCGGGGAAAATAACACTGCCGTGACTAGGCTAAAATGATGAGCGACATACAGTAGGTTGAGACATAGTACATTTTCCCCATCCCAGGGCTTATGGATATTACAACATCAAGATAATTGTATCAAAACATATATGTTGAGATCATGTTTAAATTAGTATTTCAGTAATAATTATGCCTCAGCTCTATTGCCCATAGATGTTCCCATTGCTCAGAATAACTAAAATATAATTAGAAAGAAACTTGAGTGACTGACAGATATCATTTCACTTCCGTTCTGCATATATTTGTCACAAGGTTTACCCTCCTCCAGCTATTTAACAACATGTAAAGAATCCAGAGGATTAAAAAAATCGAAAGTACGTTGAGGATAAGATTTCAATACAATTAGATCAAAGTTCAACGATTGCTATTTCTTCCCTAACATACCAACTAAGGAAGTCCCAAGCTGTCATATGGCACATATGTTAAATCCATATCCAACAACTACTCTATGACGTCTTTGGAGCCATATGGGACTGAATGGTTCAGGACATATGGATAGCAACAGCAAATTTAAGACCAGCTAAAATAAGTTTCACACGGTTCAAACAAATGAACGCAACAGCTGGTGCAGTAGACAACATAGCAGCAGAAAACCAACCGGGCAGTTATGCCAACCATTTCAGCCTCACAGCCATGTCCTATTTATAAGGAACAGGTTTTCCCTGGAGGAGTGAGGAGAGCGAGGCTACATATAAACACGCCATTATAATCATCAAGACACAAGGCTGATACAGGGATATACAGTATGGCTGTTAAAGCACAACAAGCCTTCACTGGATTGGTCTAGTTGCTGGTGTCTAATCTGTAACCAAAACCTGAGAGTAGTGCAATAGCAACAGCCAGTGCATGGACAGCAACAGCCAGTGCATGGATCCATCAACCACTCTTTTTCAACTTTTCAAATCAAGTCGTGCTGAATCAGAGCTTTTATACAAGGCTCAATAGTCTGCTTTAATTTACAACCCTTCTCTATATCTAGAATTCCAAATAAACCTGTAATTGGGTCTTGTGAAAACAATAGTTACTATGAAAATGCAGTATTAATGTCTTGACAGGGATACATCATTCTTATCGATGTGACAACATTTTTAAGATTGCCCTGGGCTGTTTACAAAATCTAACTACCTGGAAGAAATAAATCAACTAAAATAATAAAGCCAGTACACACTTTGGAAGTCAAAGAAATCTAAATCTAAAACAGTCCCATTGCAAGGAAAGCACAAAAGGGGGACGAGGAAATAATAGATCATTCAGGAGTCACCTATGTTAAGCTCTTTGTTTATTTCTTGGTCCAATTCCACCGGAGATTATGCAAAGTGCTTTTGGGCTCACGGAGGATATTCACACAGCGAATATGCTACCGTTCTTATCAATTTTGTTATTTCACACACAATTTCAATACAACTACCATCGGTTTAATGCGCATTGGTTTCTAATGCTATATTGTGCCGCAACTCTATCCGTCTATGCACATTTTTCTCAGCCACAAGACAAAAAGGTCTATTGACTGATACTGCTTCACTGTTCAAAGGTTTGAAATGAATGACTGAGTGAAACAAGAGTTGTCTACAATATCAGGGTGTTCAAAGGCTTCCATAGAGCCTCGTGTGTTATCTGTGCAAAACACGTCCAGAGGCAGCAGAGAGGAAAAAGACACATCTTCAAAGAGCTTTCTAGGACGCAATTTTCAAAACATTCCATGCTTCACGGCTCACTTTTAAAAGTTTCAGCCTTTCTACCACCGTAGGCCTATTGCACACAGTTTTAAAATAGGCTCATTAAATTGAACATAGTTAATATAATCGGATAAATAGATTTGATTGAACAGATTAAGAGTGACGTGGTGCGATATATGTAACATTTGGTTTTGGTGAGGTCATTACAGAACAAGGCCTTAGTGAAAATAACAAACTCTGCATTGGCTTGTCTTTAATGGAAACCATCACAAACAAACCCTAATGCACAATGCTGAGTGCAGCAGTAACAGCAGGCCCCGCATGGGCACACCACTGTGCCAACTGTGACCCGCCCACACTGCAGGTGTGAGTTCTAGCAACAATCGCAAAATAAAACCCAAACAGTCCAAAGCAATGGTACAGTCTTCTGAAGCTATTTTTTTTCCTCCCAGCCTGAAGCTTCCCCCATGTTTGACTGCTCCTTTGTGGATAGGCTCAGGCCAATGGAATAAATTGTTTCCCCCGGTCAACAAGTTCAACTGTTTGCTCCTTCACCTCAAACAGCTGCTTCCCCTTCATCCATCCATCTCTTCTTTTCTTCCCATTTAGTTTCTCTGTCGCTCATATACAAAGAGGCTGAGGCACAAGGCAATGTTTCGTTACACAAACATGATGCAAGGCGAGATTCCAAAACACACAGTGTACAGGTGTACTAAATATTTCACCAAGAGGTCCAGAAAAGTTAACATTGGAAATGAGCAGAGTCCTCGATCCTTAATATTTTAAATCTTGGCACATAGATGTTTAGCGCCTTTAATATTTGTAAAACCTATTTCTATTTAGTTCTGCATAGTTATTGTGTTTTTGCTCGCCATTGAACAACAGAAATAGGCTTACATAAGAATACATTGCATTTCTCCATACTTCACAGATTTACTGAAACAAGCATATTTCCCAAAGTGTCAGTCTGTTTTTTTCTTCTGTTCAATTATTATATTTCTTTATGCCTGAAAAATAGAAAACAAAGAAGCTGAGAAACATGTCTTATACTTGCTAGAAGGGCCATGGCAGAACAGAGAAATTACCCCCATGTCTATTTCTTATTCATGCCCATTATCTTACACTCCAAAAATAGATCCTCACAGGGAGGATCCGAGTGTAAAGTGGCATCCTACCAGCTCACAAAAGCTTTTATTCATTTGACAGGGCAGCAGTGTCAAAGACGGACAAAATCCTCTGGCAGGGAGCAGAGGTAATATTAAGTATGCAATTTTCATAACAAGAAAAAAAAGAACATTCCCATCATGCCTGTACTACGCTCACAACTCTGAACAAACTCATTCAGAACAGACAATGGCTAAGAATCTCTTACGCTACAACATTTTGTTGTCATTAGTTACCCAATGGTTATTTTTAAACATTTATGAACCAAATGTATGCCAGTGATCGGCACATCTGGACGATGCTGTGGAATGTGCAAGAGCATGTTGGATGTGTTTCCTTCACATCTGCCCAGCACCACTGACACTCTTTTCTTAAAGAAACTCTCTCTTCCTTGCCTTTGTAAGTTCCCGGTCTTCCAGCTGTGGTGTTTCATTTGTGCCTGCCATATTGTGATTGAGTCACATGACCATCTGCCTGTGCTAAACTCGGCATATGTTGTTAATAGTGTACAGTTAAAGGGTTCCGGGAAGAACTAATGCTTTTGAACTTTGGCTTTGCATAACATGCATCGATTTAGATGACGTGTATTCTGTGTGCGGCTTTGTGCACTTCACTGTGACCTCTGTGCCGTTGCGAATGTTTGGAACGAATACACACACATATACTACAGCACTATACTTGTTGCATTCTCACGTAGGCCTTTAAGTAAGCTTGTTCAAATTTATAAACCATTCGGGCTCAGCCACGAACACACATTTATGGTGACTCCATGATGGAAGAATGGAGCTTTACCGCACGACTCTTCCAGGAACTGTAATTCCACCCACTGCCAGGGCACTCTGTATTATTCAGTGGAACACAGATGCAGTGTAGCAAAGACGTAGGTAGCACTTGCACTCTGATCTCCCCGGACCTTAGATTAAGGATACAAGGCTTTAGACATGTTTTACAGATGTTAACCAGTCAATGTACTGTCGTAGAGCAAGTGTGAAAGAAATAAAAACATTTCCAGTTCAGATCGACTGAGCCTTTTCTTTAGGGTTTTGCTGTAAACGTTCTTTGAATGCAGCTGCCTCTGGAGAACAAGAAACTTTGCGCGAGTGCGATTGAATAATAAAACGGAGCCATTTTTAAAAAGCGATTAAAACATGTCTTCTTTCTAGCCTATACACCTATACTGAAATTCCTTGACCA